TTTCTTAATAGTTAAAATAGCAGTTACGCAAAAAGTCAGATTTTTATTTGCATAACAATAATGATTTTTACTATAAGTAAGATTTTCATGTTAATGAATATTAGAATTTTTTTTTATATGTTTAAAGTTTTTTTTTATTTTTTGTTTAAAAAATTTTTAAAATATTTTTTAATAAAAAGTTTTTTTGTTTGTTTTAAAAAACACTTGAAATATTTTTTAATAGAAATTGTTTTTTGTTTGAGAAGTTTTTAGGGGTTTGTTTAAAGACTTTTTTTTAATAGAAATTAAGAAATTTTTTTAAAATTCATTTACAAATCAAAAAAAATACATTTTATTACATATCTTGCATTGGTCAGAATAGTCCATTTCGTCCAAATTTCAAATTGACGAATGTTGGACGAAAGTTGGTCTAAATTTGGCCAATCATTGCCAAAAAAATCGTTAAAATTATTATGGATGATTTGCACAGTTGGCAATCACAAATTGGCAAAAATTCATTAAAAAATTGGAAATAAACTATTCGTCAACTTTTACTAGACATTCGTCCAAATTTCAAATTGCCAAATGTTGGACGAAATTAAGTCTAATTTTGTCTAATTGTTAATGATTTTATGTATTTAGCTTATTTTTAATTTTGTAATAACAATCAATTGATTAAATTTTATTATTTCGCTTTATTAAAATTACATATTAAAAATTATCATATTAAATATCTAATATCTACATTCTACAGTATCAGTCTATTTACACCTACCATTTACCATTTACCATTTACCATTTACCATTCACCATATATTGTCATCTACTACCCATTATCCACCATCCATCGTCCACCATTATCTACCATCATCCACTCATCCAAAATTATCTACAACTTACTCTATCTGACAAAAGTACAAAAGAGAAACTACAAAAAAAAAAGAAATGGTTAGTAAACCGTTATTATTACAATAAAAAAAGGTCAAAGTTTTGATGATTCAAAACCTACCTATTCAATAAAAATCCAAAGACAAATCTACAAAAAAAAATAAAGAAACGGTTAGTAAACTGATTTTTTAATAAAAAAAATTTAAGTTTCAAAATATTTCAAAACTTACCCAACCAAAAATCCAGAATGGAAACTTACCCATATATCTAAAGCCTAACCAAAAGTCGAAATCTACAAAATAGAAAAAAAAATTAAAATAAAATTTAAAAAAAATCCTTTTTTAAAATAAGTTTCGAAGTTTCACTTTGCCCAAGAACCGAAAGTCGAAATCTACAAAATAGAAGAAAAAATTAAAATAAAATTAAAAAAATACTTGTTTTTAAAAAAAGTTTCAAAGTTTTAACTTCAAAATTTACCGGTATTACAGAAAGGAGTATAGTCGGGTCAGCGTGATGAGTAGAGTATGGTGACATTTTGCGGTGTGTAACATAAGGGGTGTGAACCATACGCAGGTGATGTATAGCATCTCGGCCCATTCCAAATCACGTGTTTGGCCCATCGTGTTATTTATCACTTGAGTAAACTGTCACATAGAGTTCCATACTCTACTCATCACGCTGACCTGACCATACTCCTTTCCGTAGCACTCGAAATTTACCCATATATCCAAACCCAAGAACCGAAAGCCAAATTCTACAAAATAGAAGAAAAAAAATTAAAAAAATAATTAAAAAAAAATAATTTTATTTAAAAAGTTTCGAAGTTTTACTTTGAAACTTACCCATATATCTAATGTCCAATAACCAAAGGCCAAAACCTAAAAAAAGGAAAGGAATGGTTATTAGTAACCGTTCTATAATATTAATAAATAAATAAATAAATAAACTAAGATTCGTATTTATGAATCTTGGTTCCTCCATTCATCGTTGGTTCATCTATTCATCAGAAATCCATCTGAACCTATAAAAAAAGAAAGGAACGGTTAGTACCTGTTCTAAAATAATAACATATCGGCTGATTGGAAAAATTGGGCCTGATTTTGTATCACTAAATTTTGTTATGTGTAACACAAATCATAAGATCTAGTGGTTTAAAATTTTTGTCAATCCCTAAAACTCCATTCTATTTTTATGAACACCCTGAATAAAAAAAACTTTAATATGTAAAACACTAAGGAACCCATCAACTAAGCAAGGAATCTATCAATAAATTTCAAGTAAGTAACTAGAAGAAAAATCAATATAGTTGCTTTTTATTTTTAAAAACGCGTTAATTTTATAAATATTTCGCTTAAGAAACTTTCATTTTTATATTTTTTATAGCAACATTTGCCGAACGATTTGTACTTATGTTATCAACTTCAAATAACACGCCTTGCAACAAGTTTGAATGTAGAATATGTGGGAAAATTTATAAAAGAAATTCGGGTTTAACAAGGCATATGGCAACAATTAAAGATGCTAATAGTGTAAAACCAACTGTATATGATTTACCAGGAAAAGCAATTGAGAAGACATGACAAATTTGGTTTATCATATAAAGGAAAAACTAAAACAACATTCAAGGCATGTTGGTAACGTTTATATTATGATTAGCTGTACTGAGAGTCAGTTTTTTGGTGTTTTCAAAGGGCATATACATAATTATTATCCAAAAACAGGGAATTATAAGTGTATGTTTAAAGGCGTTGATTCTTACTCTACTCTATCACATATTTTAGGGGATGATAATTGGGGAGCTAAATATTTTTTACATCATCAAAAAACATTCATTTTATCATATTAATTACCATCAAATCCATGTGATTCTAAAGAATCATACCAATGTCAAGAGTCAGATCCTCTTCAGAAACCTGATCCTCTTCAACATCATACATTAATAAATACCACTGAAAAGGCTAGGAAGCAACGAACTCGCAAACCAAGACCTGTGCAAATTATTATTGGCTGGAAAAGAAAATCAAAGTCAGATGTACGTAATATTATATATTCATCAGGATTTGTTTTTATAAAATTTACAATTTTACGCACAAGAGTTATAGAATATCTCAATTAATATATAGAAATATAGTATATAGAAATATCAAAATCAAAAGGTGTACAGTCAACTCTCTTTATAGTCACACATTTGGGACAGTCCATATTTGGTGATTATAAAGAGATGTGACTATATAAAAAATTTCTTATATTAGTATATCATAATTCCGGCCAAAAATTAACATAATTTTAGCCAAAATTATACTTAAAAC